TTTAATCCCCAATGCTGCCATTAAAAAATATGGAAATAAACAAATCTGATTACCCAAACCCACCAAAAAAAAAAAAAGTGCAAAGAGAGAACTAGTCTTGACCAAAGACAACATTTCACCTGCAAGATCAGTTGTAAATGACAGAGTAAAGGTGAAGACATTAAGAGTATTCGGTCCTAAGTAGACACGTGGAGCGAGGAAACAAGGAAAGCCGAGGTCTGGAAAGTTGCCTTGGAGGATGTGACAATGTGCGACCAGAGGCTGAGCACCAGTGAGGACCTGGCAGAGGTTCCAGGAAAGCCATTCATTGAGAAAGGACTTTGCTGAGTAATGATGTTTACAAAATGAGCCTGCTGTGCTTGATCCAACATTGAATGGTAGGAGGGAGTCTCCGACAGGTTATTCTTCTTTAAAATTACTCACCTAATAAAAGAAAGCAAAACCTAAGCATAATGTTCATTAAATCAGAAGAAGAAGAAAAAAATCACCACACAATTCAACATCATCCACTTGGTTTCATATTCAGTGCAAATATATTTCTAACAAATCCAGCCTTGTATTCAAATAATTTCTAGATCTATCAACTTGGGGGTAAGATTTGTGATTTACAGTGAAAGGAAGATCTTGGAGAGCTGAGAGGAACAGCTGTGTTCTCTGTGAATCTGTTACGGAATGACGGAGGGATATCCTTCCTAAATGGATTCTGCCATAGATTCGGAGGAGACCGAGCAAAGAAAATTATAGATCTACTTATCAAACTATGCATATCAAACTGGATGTGACTAAAAGAGCTGTCTGTTGTGAGTAGCATCAGTATTTCTGCAGGGCTGCTGCGAATCAGAGTGGTAATATTAGCCATTCATAAAGAGATACAAAACTTATGTCAGATTCTCTGCCATTGGGATCCATGCTCAAGCTGTGGGGGGAGTCAGCAGGGAGATGGTGGGGGCCAATATTCTCTATTTAGGATTTGGACAGCCCTCCATTCCTTGCCCCAAGTTCCACTGTCCAGCCAAGAGAGGCAGAACTACCAAGAGACTCTAGAAAACTATAGACCCAAGGGAGAAGGAACAAGGAAGTCGGAGTTAACTCAGCCTAAAGGTGGCAGAAGTCTCATGACAGCACTTGTCTTGAAAGAACAGTGGCAACCAGGCTCCAGAGATTCCATCGTTCTGGCTAGGCAAGTCCAGTTCTCAGACCTTTGAACTAAAGATTGTCTTTTTGCCTTTAGTCTAGCGTCTTCGCATCCCATTGACCTACCCAGCCTTACTCAGCAGCCCTTTGTTTTGGTGTAAATGCTTAACTACTGCGAGCCTGCCCAAATGACTTGGGACTGTAACTCTCAGGTTTTCTCATTGGATGCTGGTCCATGCCTGCTTTTTCCATCTGGAAGATCCAGAGAACAGGAACATCCAGTATCCCAAGGATGCTGAAAGATTTAGATTAAGGCAACCCACATACAATATGATTAAAGAGCACTGTTGAAAATGTCAAATGCTATAAATATGGATAATATAATGATAACTGAGAAGCAGTTTGGTTAATTGAAGCTGGTCCCGAGAGCTCTCCTGTAATTATGGGATGACTGTGTCTGGTGTGCCCTGAAGCACGGCAAGGACATCTTATGCAAACAGACAAGTCAGATTATTTGCATCCCACTTATTTCTGAGACGCAGCTCAAACCCAGGAGATGATGAGATGCACTCTTAAGAATTTTAGTAAGTCAAGAGAATTTCTTGACCTGAGCATTGTCTGTGTGTTTATGACATGTGACCTTATCACCAGTTGGCAGTTCTAAGAGAGAATGGATCCTCTGCAGTTTCTCGGGCCCTCTGCAAATCCATCTGAGCATAAGATGCCAGGAAAAGTTTTCCCCAACCTGAATAGATGAGAAAGAACTATGGAAAAAAAAAGAAAAAAAGAAAAAATCAGGGATGAGTGATGTACACTTTTAAGGTCAGTAATTTCTAAATCAATAACTAGGACTCCAGTGTTTACAATAATGACATCAACTTTTGCTGAAATATTAATAGACATCCCCATTCTCCATTTAGATCTTGATGTTTGCCATGTGCCCCGAAGAAGACAATTATGTTCTTAATTTGACAGACTAAAACCACCAGAGCACTGAACCCTTGTAGATTTATTTATTTAAAAATATTGTTGTGGAAGAGGGAGGGCATAGCTCAGTGCTTAGCATGCAGAAAGTCCTGGATTCAATCCTCAGTACCCTCATTAAAATAACTAAATAAATAAACCTAATTACTTCCCTGCCAAAAAAGTAAAAATAAATTTAAAAAAATATTGTGGAATGAGTATGAATGGGATTGGTGTTGAAATGGGTACCTCCTCGGCAGTCTACTTCCACGCTGTCACAGGCACGTGCAAATACATAATCTCATTTTAAGGGCCTCTCTCTGGATAATCTCAACTTCCAAATTTTGAACACTAGCCCACTTCTCTCCCCACATCTTAAACTGCTATTCCAGTTGCCTCCCAGACATCTCCATTTGGATGGTCCACAGACCCCTTCTGCTGAACGTGTATTAAACTGAGCTCAGGTTTTCCTCTGACCCCCAGTCCACCTGGCCAGCCCCTCCTCCCATATTCCCAGTTCAGTGGCTGGTACTGCCCAGAAGCCAGGGCCGGAAACTGTAGTGTTACCTTCCATTCCTTCTTCTTTTTCGCTCTCTATTTCCAGTTGACCCGGGTCTTGCCAGTTCTAATTCTTAACTGTTGTTGAAACCACTTATACCTTAACCTGGACTATGACCCTCTCTTGCCTAGATTACTGTCTCAGCCTCAGTTCTTGTCCCCCATAAAACCCCATCATGTCGTGTCCCTGCTTCAAATCCTTCAATGATATCCCCTTGACATTAGAATAACTCCTTCACATGGCCTCTGAGCTCTTTATCGCCCTAGCCTTGTCTCTTAGCACTCCCTACTTCACAAGAAACTCCTCTTAACTCCTTAATTAGGCTGTATTCTCTACCCTTAACCCCACTAGACTGTAAGCTCCATGCAGGCAGGAACCACGTTTGTCTCAATTATCATCACACCCCCGGGGCCCAATGCATTGCCTGCCCTCAATATATGGTCACGCTCGTGAGTGTGTAGCACTAGTCCAGTTTCCCTTATAACTGGTTATTTAAAAAAAAAAATCTGCCCTTTCAATCCCCACAGTCCTCTCTGGACACCAGATCCCCCTATCCTTGCGGGATTGTATTTACTGCATCGTATCCTGGTCCCACATCCACGTCATTCGCGGTGAGACGTGCATTATTACGTAGGCAGCAGAGGTGGTGTGTCTCATTCCCAGCCACCTTCAAAGTAATTTTCTCGTGTGAATCAAATGGCTCTTCCCGCAGAAGTTGAACCTGTTTCCCATAGTAACCAGTTTCACAGGTTTTCTAGGATTTGTTTCCCCTCTTCTTCTAAATTCAGTCAAAAGCCTTTCTGATCTGGTCACACTGTCCCCATGACAGAAATAGTCATCTCAACCCTCTTGAGGGGCATTCCTTCCCTAGTCAAGTGTCAGTTTGCTATTTCAAAAATGTCGATGTTTGGCTTTGTTGAGGTGTTTTATTTAGAGGGTCTGATAGTCAGAAAAAAAGATTTTTTATGACTATAACAAATTACTCCTGCTTTAATTTCAACCATTCTCTGCTTTGAAACGGTCCATCTAGGAAGGAAGGGTTTTACACATTCCCCTCCGTCCCCGCCCCACCCGCATACTCTTCCAGCCAAGAGTAGGGCTCTGGGAAGTCCATTTCCTTCCTTCATGGCACCCAGCCTTGGAGCCTGATTCTCACACACTCACAGGAGAACCCTAATCAGACATCACTTCAGAAGTTCCATTTTGTTTTTGGAAGTCTGATGAGACAAAGTTTATTTTGTTTTCTTATGCAATCTCCGTTAAAGGGATCACTAGTCCATCAAATTTTAAGCAACATATTATTAAGAAAATAATGTGAATAATGTCTTATCCTTTGCTGTGCCAAATAAGGAAAAGGGATAGATTTTAAAATCATACATCAATAAATCTTGAGAATGTAGAGAGGAAAGTCTGAATAAATTTACTTTCAAGGTACAATGTCTTTAAGATACAGGGGGACCAAGATGATGATGTGAAGATGATGGTATAATTGGATGGAATGGATTTCAAGAGAGATCTTCTTCTCTGTGATCCTTCATAACTCTTCCCTTGCCAATCCCCAGCCCTGGGGAAACACAAACACCTGTCTCCTTCATTCTTCATCCTGGGCCAGTGACGATGGCTATGACAAACTATACCATGTTATGCAATGTCAAGTGCGCCCTCAATACCACTCACGAAACTTCTTACTCCTTCCTTGTTGATGTCTTGTTCCCAGTCTGACCACACCTGGGTATTGCATGCAATTCTAGAGCCACATGTCCAGATCATTCGAGACAGGCAGAAGCACGCTCAGAGGCTTGGCTTCTCACACCCCTGCCTTCTATGGATTTCTTGAAAGAATATTTGATACTTAGTCTGAAGAACGTGAGAGCTGACTTCAGAAGGTTCCCAGGGCTAGACCCTGGACTAGTGGCAGAGAGGAGGACTTAAGGCTCAGTCTAAGGGAGAACCATGTAAGAGCTCTCCAAATACAGAATGGGTTGTGTCAGGAGGCAGTTCTCTTTCACTGGAGCTGATTATATCAAAGTTTAATCTTCAATCAGTGGCTAAACTAGAGTTTGAGGATCTCTCATAATCAAGAGGGATCTGTGTTGTAGACCTTTACTCGTTATTTTATGTACAGGGAATACACACTATGATTGAAACTGGGTTTCTGCCTCAGGGTAGGAGGACACAAATGTGAAAAAATCATCACCATGTGGGATTACAAGTGCCATACTCAAGGGGTATGTGAGACGGCATGCAGGAGGAATGAGTACTGCTTGGGAAGGTTTTAGTAAAGGAGGTGGGTTTTAAGCTCGGTTTTATAGAGTTTAGCCAATGTTCTCATAGAGAGGCAGCAGCATATGCAACAGTGCAGAAGGAAAAGTGTACCTGGTGTATTTACCCCCGATGGGAACGAAGGGCAGGAAGCTTTACATGCAGTTGAAGGCCAGATTTTGAATGACCCTCATGCCTTAGAGTTGTCATGGGACAATGAAGCAGAGGATGAAATGATTCAATTGGTGTCGTAGGAAGCTGTGGTGTGTGGTATGAGATAGAATGGACTCTGGAGCAATTGAGGCTGGGAGAATTCTACACTGGGGCAGTGGAGCTGGGGACTAGGGAGGATAGGA